TTTGAAATTGTATTTTGGCTTTAATGGTTTTGGATGGAGTGTTTCTTGAGTCAAACTTTGTTATGCTGGGCTGGGGATTTACCTCAGTGGTTCTGCCACCTGCCTTGCAAACGCAAGGTATGGAGTTAGATCCCTGGTACCAAAAAAATTTTTTTTGTTGTGGTTTATGTCTAGATACCCCCCCCACCAAGGCCTATGTGGTCATAGGGCTTATTCAGCGGTGCTGAACTGGGATTAAGGACATGTGATTACTAAATCAGTCTACTGGTTGGTTTGGCCCTGCCCTAATCCTTATAGTCTGGATAAAATAAAAGGGGCAGAAAGATGCTGCTAAGGTCCCTTGTTGCTATTCTACCTTCAGTAGGGTGTGAACTATTGCCCTTTGCCATACCACCCTGCTTTGGAGCCAGCCGATTATGACAAAACCTCAACAAACTGAGAATTAAATAAACCTTTCCCAGCTTTAAATTTGGGTGTCAGGTATTTTGTCCCAGCAATGAGAAAAGTAACTAAGTTGGAATTCTTATTATTTACCTTTATACCTATAGCAGTTAGGCACTTTAAAGTTTTTCATATTATACTTGTTGAGTAAAATATTCATATAAGCACATCTTTCCCCTTGCCTCTGATTGGGATCCTGATTAGCAGCTTGTTAATATATTTGAGAGTGAAAGATATGGGTTATCTTATGATAAATCATCCACTGAATTACTTTGAGTACTACAGTGCTTCAGTTATATATTGATGTGTAATAAACCACCTCAAAACTTAGTGGTTTAAAACAATATTTTTGCAATTTGACTAAAGGTCCATAGAGAGCTGATTTCTCTTCCATTTCCTATCAGCTGGAGCGTATTGATTGGGGCTAAGGGGTCCATTTCCAAGATGGGTCACTCACATAATTGACAAGTTGGTGCTAGAAATTGGCTGAAACCGGCAGGCAGATGTCTTGATTATTCTCCAATGGCTCTCCACATGGTTTCTTGGGCTTCCTTATAACATGGTGGCTAGATTTCAAGACGTGGAAGCTCTCAGACCTTAATTCCCAGCTTGGAAGATTCAGAATATTTCTCTGTGTGCTTTCTGTTGATCAAATCAGTCTCAGATCTAGCACAAGTTCAAAGGCAGGGAATGTGAGTGCCTCTTAATCAGCAGAACCACTTGTACATTTGGGGAGGTCAAAATTATTTAGTACCATTCTAAAGTATCAGACACCACAGTACTTTTTAGTTGCTTCCTTCAATTTCTTTATCTCTAAAATATGTAGTGGGAACAGGGAAAGGATAATTATACATCATATAATTGCTATGAAAATTATAAGAGATAATGTATGTAATAAGTTTAGAATGTGTTAGGGTTTATACCTAGATGTTCTTCCAAAGTTTCAGGTGTTCATAGATGGAGGTTGGGGAGATGATTAGATCATGGTGTCATGATAATCATCAGTACAGTCCACTGATGAATTTATAGCTAAATACAATGTTGGGAGGTAGAGCTTGGTCAAAGGAGGTGGTTTACTATATCTCCCTCCTGTCTGCTTCTTTCTCCAGTTCCCTGTTGCCCTGCCATCAGCCTCTTCTCCTCTACCATGTGCTTCTGCCCTGCTGCCTTACCCTGGAGCCAACTATGGAATGAAATTTCTACAAACTATGAGCCAAAATAAACCTCTCCTCTTTTAATTTGCAGGTGCCAGGTAATTGTGTCTCAGCAAGAAGAAAATAACTATGACAGACTCCTGGCATATACTAAGTAGTCAATACATTCAGTTAATTTTTATCTATATGGTTTTAAGAATTACTGCAAAAAACTAAATCAGAGAAGAGCATATTTTTTGTTGGCAAAGCTCATTTAGACAACTTTATTGGATATTATTCCTTTTGACAGTTTTAATTAATGTATTTTCTTTGATTTGCTTGTTAAAAACTGGTAAAGACTTTTGTTTTGTTTTTGTTTCTAGGGTTAGCCACGAAATGAAAAAAAAAAAAAACCTACAGTTTTATTGTGTATGACTTAGCATTGCTGTAGGAATTCCTTTTCTTTTCATGTTCTCTTGTATGTTAGAGGGTTACTTTTTCCTTTTCTTCTTGATATCACTATCTAGTCCCTCTGCATTGAACCTGGAAAACACAGTCCTCTAAAGAGATATAGTGGATGATATTGGAATGAAGTGCCTTTGGAAGCTGCTCTTGGTTCTGTCTTCAGAAGCACTCATGTGCAGTGTCAGCCCTGAAGGAAAATTTAGGTCATTAGAGGTTATCAGCCAGATAAATCCAAGAAATAGCCAGTAGGACCAGGTAAATTCCATGTCAGATAATCTCTACATTTCTTGTTTCCACATCAGAGGTAAGGATCAGCGCTACACAGTATTCCATTAAAATTGTGCAAATTCATTATTTTTAGCAGTGAAAATGTAGCCAGTTCAAACTTTCATTAAATAATGTATGGTATCTTTGTAACTACCTTGATTTTCTATAAAAAAATAGCTATAAAATTCATGCCATGTTTTTCTCATAGCACATCTAGTTTCTATTCTTTTCTTTTGATTCTGGGTCCATATCTGTAATTTCTCCAAGTGATTACAACCACAAGTTGTTCCTTCTACAACTGACATTTTCTTCTACAATTATTCATCTCTTTAGTTCTTTTAACAGCTACATTTATAAAGATCATTTACCATGCAATAATAAACTGTGTCATTTAGTCCTTCCAGAATTTTCTAATCTTGATTACAGTGCAACACATGGCCTGATTAATTGCTCATCATTCTGTATGCACCAGTTAAGGTTATTTCTTCCCTTTTTGGCTTTACTACACACAGAGGATTTTCATTTTCTACACTCTTATTAGTTCCCAACTTCTCTCACTTCCTTTTTGCATTCCCTGATAGCACAAATAGTATGCTGAATCCTTATAAACGTCTACCATTTATTCTTGTTTCACTTTAGCTCAGTGTATCTCCAGTTTTCTTGTACCACGGAAGCACTTAGAGGGCTAATTAAAACACAGATTTCAGAGCACCAATTCCAGGGCTTCAGATACAAGAAGCCTGGGTGTGGCCGGAGAATTTACATTCTAACGTGTTCCCAACTTGCTGCTGCTCCAGTCCAGACTGTGAGAACCAAAAGCATCAGCAGATTGCTATAGTGATTAAAAGCCCGAGGTTCACTTGATATGGTTCAGATCACAGATCTTCCCCTTACCTTTCCAGCCATGTGACCTAGGGAAAGTTACTTAAACTTTCTAAACTGCATTTTCACATTTGTAAAATGGGAAGTTCAATCTTCCCGGCTTATAAGAATTACAGGAGTTGCTCTGTAAAGTACTCAGGACAGTGGCAATATATAAATGCTCAATAAATATTAGCTGTTGGTATTTTCCATAAGATGTGAAGAGTTAATATTCAAGCTCAGTTACCAAAATGAAGAAGTTTACCTCCTTTAGAAAATTGGTCACTTTGTCTGGAACTTAACTTTTTGATGGTGTTGAGATAAAAATGCTTTTTTCTCCCTTTTTTTCTTTTTAAGATTGGCCATGTGGACAGAAAGATCCTTTGGAAAATTCACGAGATTTGGAATGAGGAAAATGCCTTGGTTCCAGTCTCAACTCTGCTATTACTAGCTTTGTGACTCATAGCAATTTTCTTCATCTCTCTGATCCAAGTTTCCTGTAAATATCTTCTTAAGTGGGATATAAATGGTGAGGGCTGTTATATGGATCAAATGAGCTAAACTATTTGCAAGGTTTATTTTTTCATTTTAATGTTCTATAAAAGTATAATTGTTATTGTTATTTTTATTGAGAATAAGTAGAGCAATTTTTATTATACTTATTCATTGCCATTATGAAGAGTCATGAATCTATGGATTGACAATTATGCAATAAACATCCTATTAGAATTATTCTGAGGTGGTAATGACTAACTAGAAATTGCTAGATACTTGCTTAGATGTTTGGACATACTATTTTGTATTAGTAATCTAGGTAGATCTCTTTCTTATTAATGAAAATAATAGTTCATCTTTTATATTCTTTAGCTTGAAGGTATCACATTTAAATGATCATACCTTGCAATAATACTGAGAGAGAGAGAGAGAGAGAGAGAGAGGGAGAGAGAGAGAGAGAGAGAGGAAAAACCCCCTAGATTATATCTAATAACATTTGTACCACTCTTAAGAAAGCTTTGTTCTCATGGTATGTGTTGTTCAGTTTTGGCAGTCGATTTTAGGCAAAAATTATAGCCTTATTTTCAGTTCATACTGCAGGATTCTTTCAGAAGAGCAAAAGAAGTTCTATTTTATTTGATCAAATTTTAAAAATATTACATTAAGTCTTGTGTTTGGCACCCTAGGATATGTCAAAATGAAGTACACATTTAGTCCTTTAGATCGGTTTTCCTCTAGCAGAGGTTAGAACAACATACAAAAATCACTACAAGTGTCACAAAGGAGGTTGAGTCAGAGGGCTGAGAGTGTCTAAAGGAGGTAGAGATTGTATCTGGCTAGGGGATCAGTGCTGTCTCATTTTCAGGCCATGTGTTGATCCATATTAAACCACTGAATCCAAGTATCACAGGGATCCTGGAAAGGACTTGGCAAGTTGAATGTATTGACCTTCACAAAGGATTATATTTAAACCATCGTAGACAGATGAGAATCTATCTGCCATTGAGGGGAAGAAATCCTTTCCTTGAAGAGATTCAATATCTTCTCTAACTCGTTTCAGTATTTAACAGCCTTTGCTTGCTTCTGAGAAACTTACTTTACCTCACACACGTTCCTCCACTTGCTGAACGAACACATAACTTGCCTCTTTATTTGAGGCAATCAGCACTGTAACTTTGGGCATCCCGAGATCATTGCTTCATTAGTTAATCTGCCAATTAAATGAAGAGTTTTTGGAGTCAGGATATAATACTAATTAAGAACATAAAGAGTTGAGTCTTGGTTCCTTCTCTCCTCATTGTATCACTTTGGACAAAGTTACTTAAAACCTCTGAGTCTCAATTTCTCATGGATATAATAACATCTGCCTCTTAGGGCTGTGGTGAAATCAAATAAAAATGATGCATATTTTAGGATGAACTATATATAATTACCAGTATCTGACCTTTTGGTCCAATAAACACAGGAGGTTTATGTATTTAAGCTACTAAAGGTCCCGAATTTACCGAAGATTCAAAGTTAATAGTCGCTATTATCAACAAAAGAAAAGAACTATTATTGTTATCATAGTCATATCATGGTGTGTAATATCATCTCAGTGCTGGAGGATATTCTTGCAGACGAACCATTGTAAAGTGATGAAAAGATTACTTTATCGAGCTCTGCATATGCTGCACTCCACATAAATCAGCGAAGGAAAGAGTATCTGGGCTGGGGACCTGTTGAGGTCAGGGAAGGCTCCAGAAAGGTGGCAGCATTTGCATTGTGCCTTGTACAGTGAGTTGATTTCTGAGTAGATAATGAACCAAGGAAGGAATATCAAGCCAAGCAAGGAGCTTGTGACTAGAGTGAGTGTAAAAGTGGGAGGGAATGTGGGAGATTTGTGACCCTGCAGAGATTCTGTGACTAAAAGATGTAACGACTGTGGGAATCAAAGGAGCGGGATGAAAAGAAAAACAGATTTTTATTGGGGAATTGCCGTGATTGGTTTTTTCAAGTTTAAAGGTTGCTCTGGAGGCTTTGTTGAGAATGACTGACTTGGAATAAGTATAGAAGCAGAGATGCATGGGAGGAGGCTGTTGCAGCAGAGCATCCGAGGAACAGTGTTGGCTGACCCTAGAGCAGCAGCTATGTTCTGGGAGCAGACAAAAACGATCTCTTTCCAAGGTACGTATCACAGGTCCTAGTAGTGGGTGGGCTGCTGCGGGAGAATTAAATGTTAGTTAACTCCCGGGTGTTTGGCTCCAGTCCTGAGTCACAGAAAATAAGAGGAGCAGAAGGGGAGAATGGAGATATAAAAAGTGGTGGGAGATGGCTGAGAAGAGAATGAGTATACTTTTGAGAATGTTACATTCAATCTGTGTGAGAAATTTCTACATTCTTTGACTTTCTTACCTCTGCTCTGACTGCAGAAGAAGATGCTTTGCACTTGTGAGCATCCTTGGGGTTCATGAGACCCTTATCCAGGCATTCTGAGAGGCCAAATTCATTTGATTTCCTAATTTCACTCATGTCCTACCTCCCCAAGGGTACTGGTCAGGTATCTGTACTGAGGTAATTGTTAGTGAGTTAAAAATAGGAGCCAATGTTACTAGAGAGAGTGCTCACTGTGTTTTTGGCACTATTCCAAATGCCCTCTGTCAGAACCTTATTTACTTTTAGTAACAATTTGTATGAGACATGTAGTGCTGTTGACACCATTTTATAACCAAGGTAATTGATGCTCAGAGAGGTTAGCTAACATGTCCAAGGTCATCAAATTATCAAGTGGTAGAACCAGGATGCAAACTGAGGTCAAAAGCTTCATGGACTGTGCTTCTAAGCATTATGTTGGGAAATGTAATTTGGCCTAATCTAGAGACCATTGCCTATTGGAATACTTTATAGTTGTGTTTTATTCTTCTTAAGTGCAATTTTGTTTGGTACACGTTATGATTTGCACCTGGAATGTCCCCCAAAGGCTTATGTATTGAAGGCTTGGTCTTCAATGCAACAGTGTTCAGAAGTGGGGCTTTTAAAGGATGACTGGATCCTGAGAGTGCTAAATTTATCAGAGGATCAATCCATTAATGGATTCATGATTTGATAGCATTATTGGGAACTGATAAAAACTTAGGCATTGGGTTCTACTTGAAGGGATGATCTTGGGAACTATATCTTGTCTCCAGCTTCTTTCTCCCTGGTTCTCTCTTTCTGTGCTTGCTGGCTCCATGAAATGAGTAGCTCTTTTCCACCATGCCCTTTGGTTACGACTTTTCTGCCTTTCCATAGGCCTAAAAGCAATTGAACCAGCCAATAATGGACTGGACCTCTGAAGCCATGAGCCAAAATAAACCTTTCTTCCTTTATGTTTTTTTTTTTTTTTTATCATGGGTGTTTCGTCACAGAGCTGACTACCAAAGTATATATTCTTTTGGAAAGTACTCTGAGGTTTGCAAGTACAAAATGGTGATCTGTGGATTGAATATTTTTCTGTCTAATCCACATGCTCCAATGGGGACAATTTCTAAATTTTTGTTTCAGATAATCTTACTGAGTTTGGTTTTGATTTCTACTTTGGGACCTCTCCTTAGAAGAGTCAGAGGTGAGTTATAAAACATTTTCTAGGTAAAGTTAAATTCACTGATTATTTTAAATTTTAGCAGAAATGGAGATTTTTTTTCAAATTTTATTTATTGTGTTAAGTCACCTACATGAGGTGCTGGTATCTGGTACATAATTTTCTTATAATCCTTCCATGCAGTTTTCCTGGGACTCTTCAGTGAGACGATTCTTACATCTTGGGTGGACCCCTACAAGGCTGTACTCGATCCCAGCGTAAGTAGATCCTCTGCTTTGGTGGCAGTCCAGTGAGATTGATGGAATAACTAAGAAAACTTCTCTTTTCATGACCCCCCCTTTATAGTTAACTAGTTATAGTTATAGAGGCCTCTCTTTATTTAATTTCACTCATGGAGAAGAACCACAGAGTGTTGGCATTAAGAACCCTATAAAAGACAAAGCAGTTGATTATTCTTACCAGGAAAGTAGGTGCTCATATTGGTGCAGTAAAAACTACTGCATGCACAGAAATAGCTCATTGGAAGAGCTGTGCTCTCAAGGGTAGATATCTTCAAACTATCTTTGACCCCTCAGAGCAGAGACGCAACCAAGTACCATGCCAAGGACTGGGGAAACATGTTGACCTACAGGCAGAAAGATCTCATGTGAAATTATAAGTGGCCTTTAATTCTTTACAGGAACGCCTTACAAGGATTCACTTTCCCTCTTAATGATGGGACCACTGTCATCGGGAAAACATAGTTCTTTCCCTAGGTTGGGTATTATCTGAAAATTTGAATGAATATAGTCATTTTACCTGCTTGTTCTACTCTCTACCCTCTGACCTGGAGAATTCCTATATAGCCTTCCATATGTAAATTATATCAAACATATTAGCAAGCATTTATGTAGTAGATGATATGCTGCTGGTAGTGTAGAGGGTAGAGGCTAAGGAAGTAAGAATATCTGCTTCAGATATAGGCAATAAGGGGCTACATCATCCATAGAGAATTAAAAACAATAATAAAACTCAAAAGGAAGTTTGCTTTTTCTGACCACCACACGGTGGTAGTTCTAAATAATGCCAGTGAAGAAAATGCTCCTCCTGACTGGGGCAGCCTTCTTCCCTGGAGCTGTGTTTTGCCTCGATAGCATGGTACATTCCCACCATCTTCCTAAGCATTTACATATATTCACATAATTTGTCCCAATTTACAGCTAAGGGACCTAAGGCACAGAGTAGGTGTGCTGAGTCACACAGCTTATTCATCATCTTGCCTTGTGGGTAAGTCGTGTGCTCGGAGACCCAGTCCTGGCAGCATTGTACCAGCTCACCTATCTCAGCACTGAACATCTAGTACACATATAAATATACCTTCATGAAGACACCCCTGACCCACTTACCCAGTGCAAAATGGCTTCTTACATGTGTTCTACAATATTCTGTACATATTTCTATTGCAGGACTTGCTGGGCTTCACACCAGTAAACTAAGACCCCTGGTTGGTCAGTAGTGCCAAATGAAGGAATGCATCCTTTGGTGAAAAAAAAATCTATATATACTGGAGGGATTGTATATATTATGACAGGTTGGTGAAATCCTCTGGATATTCGTCTGGAAATCAAGGACAGTCAATAGTTTTGAATCTATTACTAGATATCAACAAGATACAGAATCAAACATTCCCAGTGTTTTGCTTCTCAGTCTGTAAAACAGGAAAAAGAACTATAGAGAAAATTTTTTTTTCAGCTTTAATTGAGTATATTGGTACATTTTAGGGATACAGCATATTTACATTCATTGTTGGGATCTTCTCTGAACTGAATTCAATGGATTTATTTTTTTTTCTTTTTATTGAGATTATTGGTACAATGTAGGTATACAATACAGTTACATTCATCATTGGGATTCTGTACCTTTACATAATAGGTCTTGATTCTCAATTTTTCCCCTTGTTCCTGCCCTCCCTTCACCCCCTCCTCCCCTCCCCATTTACAAACACTTTATTTCCATTTTTTCAGTTTCTCATATTTTCTTCCTCTCCCTTATTACCTTTCCCCCACCCTTCCCAGTTTCCCTACACCTTTAGCTCTTTACTTCCTGTTTCACATTATTAATTATCTCATTAGGATCCTGTGTACTATTACAGTTTTTCATACCAGAGAAACTATTCAGTATTTCAATTAAAGAAATCTCTGTATGAACATTAAAAATAGGGAATCCTAAAATAAAACTAAAAAAGGAAAGTAAAGGAGAAAAGGCAATGATGTAACATTAAAATAATCCATAATTGTGAAGATGAAAATGGTCCCTTAACATATTTAAATTGCTTCTTGCTCTTGTAGTCTTATTCTCCTTTTCATTATTTAGAGAATACTTTATTAGTTTCTGTAATCAAACCCACGTAGATATGACCTTAGATATTTAGTACAATGTGTTACCCCTGTACACATGGAATAAAAATAAATAAATAAAAATTTAAAAATTAACATTTCTAGACCAATATGGCTGTCCATTTCTGTACAATGCCAACTCAACACAGTAAATTGGGATAACTTTTTCCAAAGTTGACAGCACTGTTAAAGTTTCCCAAAATTCAATTTATAAATATATGTATATTTATATTTCTATAAAAAGACTAATAATAGCAGTATGTTATGCATCGATAGCAGCAACAGCTTTTCCAGGTTCTGTAGTCATCTGAACAAAATTATGTACATTCAGCACATTCCATTAAACAAAACAAAACAAAAAAAACAAAGAAAAGAATAATATACAGAAACAGCAAGGTTCTGTTGCTGTTTTGGTACCTGGCACCATTTTTTTTATTAGCATCTTAATCATCATGTGGAAAGAGAACATTCTAGAGTAATATCATTAAATATAGCTCTGATAAAGCACAGTCCCTACTATGTATCATAAAGCAGGTACAAGATATTTTACATTCTCAGAGGTATAATACAGTACCATCCTACATTAATAATACTAGAATCAGTTTTGGTGTGAAATTTGCTTTGTCTGCAAATAAGATTGCTACCCCTATTTTTTCCTGGGCTCCTGTCACATGGAGAATTGTTTTCTATCCCTTCACTTTCAATGGATTTGTTTGTTTTCCTTTTTATTGCTAACAAAAGTATTTGTAGAAAAAACCTTTTGGTTTAAGTATTACATAATAAAGATGCACACAAGTTATAAGTATGTAGTTTGATAAATTATTACAAGATGAACTTATGCATATGATACTACTTGGATCAAGAAATAAAATGTTACCAGCTCCTTGGTAACCTCCCTCCTACCCAAATATGAAGTTTTGACTTCTAACATCATTGAACTAACTTTCCAAAAAATGGAAAAATTTCGCACATGTTATTTTTAATGAGCCTTCTTTTATTCAACATTATGCTTGTTAGAGTCATCCATAATACAGTGATATAGTATGATGTAACTGCATTATGGTTTATTCATTTTCATTGCTGTATTATATTTCACTGAATAAGTAGAGTACAATTTGTTCATGTATTCTACTACCTGTAAATATTTTGGATAAATTTAAAGAATTCCATACCTATTGAATTTTAAACTGCCACAGAGGTCGAAGACATATCTATTCAAATTATTCTAAGAACACTTATTTTTTCATTCCTTTTTGGGAATGAGTCCTTCTTATTCTAGCTGACACCTTTTAACATATCACGATTGCCTTCTAATAACCATCAATGAATGGCCAGGGAAGGATTTTTGCATGGTCCAGGTCAGTCAGAGTTTCTGTCCTATTCCTAAGACCAAGAGAAATCACAACCATATCCTTCTTCCAAAAATTTTTGGCCTTGGATCACAGAGAGAAAGCGATCATAAGGGATGTTTGGCAACTGTCTGGAGACGTGTTCCCCATTATAAGTCATTTTGCAGTAAAAGAAAAAGAATTCATCCATGGTTAGAGACAGCATGGGGAGATGGATCCTCATTGATTTACCTGGATTCATTCATTTCTAAAGCCCTACCACACCTCCCCTTTGCTGTAATTAGTTATTGGATCCATATAGTTTCTCCTTGGGTTAAGGTAGTTCAGGTTAATATCCTTATATGACCAAAAGAAATCTCAGTAGTGCAGTTGTGTTCCTCAGACCAAAATATGTGAAATCAATATAGGCAGAGGGGCTCTGACTCTGCCGGATTTCTAACTGGAATGTTGTCTAAGATCCAGATATAACTTTTAAGAAAGGGGACAGTAACTTTCGTCAGTATAAACTAAGAAAGGTTATTTGAATCTGGAGAAAGATTTCATCAGTAGCCCAGCCCTCTAAAATCTTGCCAGTGCTGTTCTTAGGGTTACCGCTCCTCTCATTCTTTGTAAACAATGTCCTCTTGAGCCTTGCTGATAGGATGTTGCTAGTGAGAGAGTTAAACCCCATATATATGGCTTGAAACGCATGTGCCTAGCACATAGAGGCAAGTTAAGGTATTTATGTCGTGATTGCTACCCAATTCAGCACTACCATTTAGCTTCAAGTTCTTTCCTTAGTCATGGATGACTACTTAACACTTACCTATCAATAGCTACCCCAAAATATCTTAATTCCTCTGAAATCTACTTCTTAGTGATAAAGGACTCCCCAGTCTATTTTTAATTAGCAGTATAAGAGGTTCCTTTCTCTAATCTAAGACTTTTCCACCTTCATGTTTACTGCTCCTTCCAGGTCAAAGGAATCTGTGTCCTCATTGTTCTCTGAATCTGGAGCCCATCTGAGATACTGTTCCTATATTTATTCCCCCATTCTGCTATCTTTAAACTGTCCCTCTGCATAGACTTCCAAACTATGCTTTTCTCTTTCACCTTTAGCAAGATCTGGATGTTCCTTTTTAGCTACCATCTTATTTCTTTTCCTTCATTTACATATTTCTTGGATAAGAAGCCCAAGAGTACATTGATTCCCTTGAAAATCTTTCCACTCATTTCCAAGCTAAGTCATTCTACCTTTTTGCTTGATCTGTATCTCAAACTCTGGATTTTCTTCTTGCCCCCTAACTCTGCATTGTGGATATCTCTGAAAGTCCTGGGTTTTTTTTTTTTTTGTTTTTTTTTTAAATTGTATTGAGTTTATTGGTACTTTTTAAGTTTACAGTACAGTTACAATCATCATTGGGATCTGGTACCCTTTTATATGACAGATCTTGGTTCTCATTTTCTCCCCATACCCCTGTCCTCTCTTCACCCTCTCCACCCTGCTCTATTTCAGACTTTGTTTCCATTTTTTTCCTTTTCTTCTCCCTTATT